GGCGGGAGTGTCGCTGCACTCCCAGTGCTGCACTCTCCTAAGTGTGCCATGGGGCCGGCCCTAAAAAAGGTGCAAAATTTAATATACTGGGGACCTGAGAGTACTGCCCCACACAGCACTTTCCAATCCTGGGTGGTGCAGGCTTGGTGTGCTAATCCCCAGAGGATGGTTTCTGCCCATGGGGAATTTGGACAATCTTTGGCCACAGCCTTTTTTAGCTCTTTTAGGTCTGTAGCCTCCCAGGGGTACCAGGGCGCTGGCTTGTTCCCCCCAGGGTTGACATTGACAGGAAAAGCCTGGGGTTAGTAAGGAAAGGGTGGTGGAGTTTCCCAGGGATTCCCCATTGACTCATGCTGTTTATAGTTAACGTTAACAGGGAAAGCTTGAGGCTGGTGGTGAAAGGGCGGGGAGCCTCCCAGCCATCATTTAGTTGAAATTTGTTTTGCCAACTGGCTGTTATTTGTTTATTGTTTGTGGCCCCCTCCTGTAAGTCTTTAGTGAGAGGAGGGAGGGGAGGGTAAATGCCCTCCCCTGGGGGCTTACGCGGGGGAAAGTCCTGGTCCTCTTGTGACCCTCCAAGTTACTCTGGTGGGTCCCTGGAACTATTTGCTGACTGAAAGATATCCTGGGAATGACTTTGTGAAGAGACAGTTAGGCCTCCCTTAATACGCTCCCTTTCAAACTTTTCCCATTGCTCTTCTTTTTTTTTTCCTTTTTTCCCCCTTTATTTGTCTTTTTTCGTGTCCGGCAACGGATCGCAACCCTCAGTGTCGCGCCCGTACCGGACCGGGACCGGCAACAGGATCGCAACCCTCGGTGTTGCGCCCGCACCTCGCTCAGCCAGTGAGCGGGAACTGGTCTGTATGTGGGATCCGAAGCCTCGGTGGGAGCGTCGCCTCGCTCCCAAGTGGCGCACTGTAGCAGTGCGCCACCGGGCCGGCCCCATCCCATTGCTCTTCTAAGTCTGGGAGGTAGGGGTATGGCTGTCACCTTTGTGGCCTTGCAAGAAGCAAAACTTAAGGGTGGGTCCTCCCTGCAGCAAACCTCACACTGCCAGGCAAGGGTTTGTACACAGTCCCACGTGTCCCAAGAAAACAGGTTGGCCGAGACCATCCAGGGAGCCAGGGCTAGAATGGTTTCTCAGGTCTTGGCAGCCATACTGTCAGAAATCTCACGTCCTTTACTTTTTAACAAATATTTTAGTGCCTTAAGGGCAGGTTCATCCATTTTGCCCATGGTATTTCCCATGGTGTTTAGACGTATAGAAACAGAAAGAGAAAACAGCTGTGGGTTATCACCACAAAAAACCTGACAGGACAGGTGATAGCCAGTATTTTGGGAAGAGGGGATGGCTGTTCCCTCAGCTGGAAGAAGTCAAGGAGGACTTTCACCTGGTCATGCTTCTGCTACTGGAGCCAACTGATATGAGACCTTCAAGGTCTACCAGAGAGTCACCCTGGCCATGACCTGTCAATTGTCCCACATCCATCTGCTTGTTCGCTGAAAGTCACAGAATGGAGAGGGAAAGGATAGTGGGAAATAAGCATAGGAGGAATAAGAAAAGAGTGAAAACAACTTACCCTACTCACCTGTTGGGAAAAAGGAGACTCACCTTGAAAACGTCCGTTACCCCGAGATGGCGTCTGTCCAGAGGGAAACTCTGCACTGAGGCTCATGGCTGCTCATCGCCTCTCTCTCAAGGCCGCATGGTGGGTCTGTTCTTCTTGCGTGGTGGGTCCCTGTTCGGGCACCAGCTTCTGCAGGGGCGTGCCTGGGGCCCTCCCGCAGACCCAGAAGGAGAAGGAGCTGAGAGGACCACCCCCAGTGTTGGGACCGAGGGATCTCAGGAAAAAGTGAGCCTGCTGCCCGCCAACCCAGCCTTGTGAAAGAGACACTCAGACACGGCAGGCGTCCTGTCAGGGCAGTTCCACTTTATTGCTGTTACACCACAATTTATATAAGCAAGCAAGTAGGGGCTTTCCATGAACTAGCCAATCAATTAAAGGATCATGCGGGCATGCATTTTGTACTAACATGTTGAGCATAGCGATCATGCAGGGTTCACGAGTGCAGAAATACTGGAGGACCAATAAAAACCTTTTGGAGCTATCTTGGGTTACGCCTCCCCTACTTCCCGCAGGCGCCATCTTCATCCTCCACCCATAGGCACCATGTGGCCCACAGATAATGTTTGTTCCTAAAGATGGGCCCAACATCTCCCCCTATTTTCTTTATAAAAAGAAGAACAACCCTGTAATGGGCAGTTGAAGGCAGCTAACCTCTCAACCTCGTTCACTTTTTTGTGACTGTGCCTGTCTTAGGTTGTCCCCCTCTGGGGATCTTACCCGTCATTGGCTAGCCAGCCACTTGTGGAGAGCCAGTGGAGCCCCTTAAAGATTACTGCGGATTTTTTGAAGGGCCATATTGACCCAAGGGTTTTGGGAGTTTTCTCTTGGGCCACATTTTCTACCACTTGGGTGGGCATAGTTATGGATCCTAGATTTCGTCAAATGAGAGCCATGATTTTAGTAAAAATTAAAGGACCAAACATGAGCACTAAGAGGAGGATTAAGAGGGGGCCTGCTAAGGCAGATATTAAGGTGGTAAGCCAGGGAGAACTGTTAAACCAAGATTGAAACCAGCCCTCATTGGCCTCTCTTTCTCTTTTACATCTTTCCAAGCCCTCTCTAACCTTTGTCATAGATTCTTTTACTATTCCAGAATGATCAGCATAAAAGCAACATTATTCCCTGAGAGCTGTACATAAGCCTCCCTGTTGTAAAATTAGGAGGTCTAATCCCCTTCTATTTTGTAATACAACCTGAGGCGATTATCCTGTAAAATAACCCTCAGTGCAGTCACACGTATCCTATGAAGAGGGAAGCAAAGTGAAATTTGGTGCACACAAGGAAGGTGTGTGAAGGCAGAGTAGAAAGAGATTTGCAGATGCTGGCCATGACGACTGGAGTGATGTGGCCACAAGCCAAGGAATGCTGCCAGTTGCCAGCAGCTAGAAGAGGCAAGGAAGGGGTCTCCCCTGGAGCCTCCAGTGGGATCATCCCCCAAAACACCTTAATTTCAAGCCAACACTAAATATTTATTGAGAACTCTGGCATCCAGAACTGTGAGAGAATTAAAGTGTTGTTTCAAGCCACTAAGTTTGTGGTAGGTGTTACACAGGGATAGAAAACTAATCAAACACCCATCTCCCCACCTCTTCAATGAGCCCCTCAGGGGCAGCCCCAGCCCAGCCAGGGTCCTGCACAGCAAAAACTCACAGGAAGTGAGAAGATAAATGGCCAAATGAAAACAAATGCATAAACAAACTGTTCAAACACAAGGGGATCTCATGGCTCAAAAGTCACAGCCACACAGAAGACACCCTCAAAACACCTGCCCAAATGCACTTGGCCTTACATTGCTTGAAGTACTGTTTTTTGTTTTTTTTTTTTTGTCTTTTGTCTTTTTCCGTGTCTGGCAACGGGATCGCAACCCTCGGCGTTGCCCCCGCGCCTCGCTCAGCCAGTGAGCGGGAACCGGTCCGTATGTGGGATCCGAACCCTCGGGCTGGAGCGCCGCCGCGCTTCCCAAATGGCGCACTATCCAGTGCACTACCGGGCCGGCCCTTGAAGTACTGTTTTTAAGCCACACTCTCTACGTCAGTCCAAATTCAAAGGGCAAGGTGGGCAGCAGTTGGGACTGCAGCTTCAGACTAACATGCCTAGCAGAGGCACAGAAGTGGCCAGATAATGACGGTACCAGGCAGAGCACCCACTCACCCCACATGGAAGGAAGGAGGTGTAATCATAGGAGGGCCAGGAGCTTGGGCAAGAGGACCTTTCATCTGCCCCATTTCCCCTGGTCTCTGCTGGATTCTTGGAGGCAGGACACCCTTGGTGGCCAGAGACTCCCCCTGGCCCCTTTCCAGGACCGGTCCTAGTGGGTTGCACTAGAAAACCCTGCTGTGAAGGTCTAGAGGCGGGTTTGCTCAGGGTCACTTAGAACCTGGAACAAGAAAAAGGCAGGGAGGAGAAGATATATATGTACACACAGTACATATTTTTTAATTCAAGGTGAGGGCACCAAAGAGGTTAGTCATGGTTTATTTGAAATCTCACAATGATGATTGCGATGGTGGTAATAAAGATGGTGATGGTAATGATGACAGTGACGATGGTGGTGATAGAGGTGGTGGTGGTGGTGTTGATGGTGGTGGTGATAGATACAGATGGTGATGGTGATGATGATGGTGATGGCGATGGTGATAATGATGGTGATGATGGTGGTGGTGGTGATAATGATGGTGATGGTGGTGGTGGTGCTGGTGGTGGAGGTGGTGGTGGTGGTAATGATGATGGTGGTGGTGATGGTGGTGGTGGTGATGACAGTTAAAGCATGATGGAGCACTCCCTGTGTCTGGCAGTGCACTATACCCTTTATAAACATTCTCTCTCTCTCAACTTTCAAAACCACTCTACACAGTGAATAATATTACCATCTCAGTTTTCGGACTAGGAAAATGGGAATCTAAGAAACTAAATAATAGGCCCAGGGCCGCCCACCTTGTGAGTGGTGAATCTAGGACTTTAAGATGGGTGCTCTAATTTGGAGGCCCCTGCTCTGAACTTCTGTGTCACCACACCTGCCAAAGCCACTGAGCAAGGGAGAGTCAGAAATCCCTTCTGCTCCACTGCTTGGGGGTAGCGGTGGGAGGGCAGGGGCCTCTGGGGTTCCAGGCCATCTTACCCACTGGTTTGGACCCTTACTCTGTGGGTGTCTGCTGGGATGGAAAGAGCCAGAGGAGAGTTGCATCTGGGGGCCTGTGGGGAGCTCTCTGCATGCAGCAGGCTGCACCTCATCTTTGCCTACCCCTATCCTGAGGATTTCAGGTAGCTGACCCCCTCCACCTCAGGAGGGGGCCTGGGACATCAGACAGACAAGGGCTACATGCATGCATCCTGTGGCTGAAACTAAGAGCAATGCCAAAGAGGCTTTCTCACGTGGAAAATCTGGTTGGAGATTTTGGCAGAGGTCTAGAAATCCCAGGCAATGATGGTGTGGTCAGTGGAGTCCCGGGTGGAAGCATCTGTGCTGCTCAGGAACTCAGAGTCTTCCTGGAGGAAGAGGATGTCCGAGTTCTGCTGGATGGTCGCCTTGTAGCCTCTCACCACCTGCAAGAGTAGGCACTGGTTGCACTGGCAGGGCGGAGGACCCCCTCTAGGACGCGTGCCCCCGCCTGGACCTCCGCCCCTCGCTAGGAAGGCCCCGAGGAGGCGGCCGGGGGCTGGGCCGAGGCCGGCAGGCTCGAGCACCGAGGTGATTCGGCACGGCCCGATCCCCTCCCGACTGCCGGGGCCCTCCCTGCTCCTCACCTGCCACCCGCGCACTGGGGCTGGGGGAAGGGGCCACCAGCGGCAGCGGTCAGGGTCGGAGAGAAAGTGGTGGAAGCCCGGAATACGGAAGATGACACAGGGTTCTGCGGCTTGTGCGCTTGCGCGAGCCGTCCCGCGGCCCGCCTACTTCCGCGCATGCCCGGTGCAGGAGTCGGTGGCCTTCACCCTGAGGCCGGAAGGGCGGCGCGTTTCCGGTTCGCCTGCAGTGGGCGGGGCCTGAAGCCCTGGTGTGGAGTGGGAGGTGGGGGAGAGGGTTCGTAATAACTTCGTATAGCATACATTATACGAAGTTATACGAAGGCACCTGCTCAGGGAGGGCCTGGGAGGGCTGCCAGTGTCCAGGGTGTGGGTGGGTTTAGTGAAGACTGCTGAGCCACATACACTCAGGATGAGCAAGCCACATGTGGAGAAGCAGGACCCTCTGCCCCTCCCAGCTCCTGCTTCCCCACCAGGCCAATGTCAATCACCCTCAGAGCTGCTCTGTGATATCTCCTGGATTCAAACCTTGCCTGCCAGCCCCCCACCACCACTTCTACTGGCATGTGGGTCTAACAAGGCATGATTGTCTTCTCTGCCAGACTAGGTCCCTTGAGAGCAGTTGGTGCCCAAAGGGAATATGGTAAGGGATGGGTCCATGCCTTGCCCTAGGGCACCTAAAGAGCATAACAATGTTCATCAATATCGAGGTCATATTTCATGAGTCTTGCTTCTGAAGACATCACATAATTCACAGCTCACAGAGTCCCAGACTATTGTCCCTGGATGAGTAACAGTAATGCAGGAAGCAAGCATTCTTGGAGACAGACCATAAAGCCAGAATCACAAAAGGTATTTCAGCTGTAAAGACACTTTATTTTCTTAGCATCATCACCAATATTTCATAGCTTCCTCTCTCATAAACTAATGTTATTAAGTATCAAGCAGTCATCTTGCTTTCTTCAGAGCATTTTATCACATTCAACTTCTGCTCTAAAATACCTGGTTTGGGGCTAGCTGGTTGGCTCAGTTGATTAGAGCACAGCCTTGCAATACCAAGGTCAAGGGTTTGGTTCCCCTTACCACCCAGCCACCAATAAAAAAATAGTTGGTTTTGGCAGGGGGTTAGAGGAAGTGATCTCAGTACTAGAACTAACAAGTAACTCCCTTAACAAACTCACAGATGACACGACTTTTAATTGCAATTCTGAAGTAACAGGCCAGGCACCCACCAGCCGCAAAGGAAGTGCAGCCAAGGCCACCTGGCCAGCCTGTTTACCAATTCCTGGGGCACCCCTTGTGGCTACAGCATAACTACAATTCTCTGGTCCCTTGGCTCCACCAGCCATCTTGACAAATTTTTTAAAAATTGAAGCTCACACCTTTCAAACTTTACAGAATTATATTTTCTTTTTTTTTTTAAAGATGACCGGTAAGGGGATCTTAACCCTTGACTTGGTGTTGTCAGCACCACGCTCACCCAGTGAGTTAACTGGCCATCCCTATATGGGATCCGAACCCGGGGCCTTGGTGTTATCAGCACCACACTCTCCCGAGTGAGCCACGGGCCGGCCCCAGAATTATATTTTCTATCATTCTCTTTCAAATGTATGTGTCAAATCTTCATTAAATGCAGCACTCCATAAATTTAATTTAGACTGGGGAAGGGGGGATTGAGACCCATTCTCCAGATGAGGTATACTGAGGCTGAGATACATAGGGATTTGCTCAATGTCACATAGCCAGGTCCTGTTAGAGTCTCTCTCCATCCCATCTGCTTCCCTAGAGCCCACAACTCAGTCTCCTGCAGACCAATTCCTGCCTCGGTAAACTCCTGGGAGCAAATTCCTGGGGGAGGGTGGGCAAAAAATGACTACTCTTCTCTGCCTCTGCAGAAGCAGCCCTTAGCTAGGAGGACCACAGAGTGAGTCCCCTGAAGCCTGAAGAGTGAGCTGGGGCAGAAAAAGATGCCAGCCCTTCAGGCCTCTGAACACAGAATAGGGAGACAGGCTGCCCCTCAACCAATGGCCCATGACAGCTCACCAGGCAGCAGGGGGCTACCTGCTGCCTTCCTGCCTGTCTGCCTCCCTACCTCTCCTACAGGGGACTGCCTGCTCCCTTCCTACCTCCATTCCTTGTGCCTGTTTTGCCTCCTGGGGTGGCCCTGACCGGACACAGCTGCAAGTATCACAGACCATGGGCTGGGGGGAAAGCGCCATCCCCTCGGCCAGGAGCAGATGTCTGCCTCCCTACCTCTCCTCCAGGGGGCTGCCTGCTCCCTTCCTACCTCCATTCCTTGTGCCTGTTTTGCCTCCTGGGGTGGCCCTGACCGGACACAGCTGCAAGTATCACAGACCATGGGCTGGGGGGAAAGCGCCATCCCCTCGGCCAGGAGCAGAGGGGTCGTGCTGCTGCTGAGATGGTCCAGCCTGCTGGGTCCGGAGCTGGGACGGATGTAGTACATCACCACAGTCATCTGCTCTGACGGGTTTGTGCAACATTCGAACTCATAAGAACAGCACCATCCCAAGGCAGTGTTTGGAATCTACTTTGGCGGTGGGGTGGAGAGAAATGCCCCATTATCATTGCTCTGGAACTAGCTCCAGACCCATCCGCTCCTCCCATTGCCAGTGCCATTACAGTCTTACCTTGCTTAAGCAGCCCTCCCCATGGGCCAGCCTAGGACCTCCATCAACCATGTTGGTCTTAGACACCTCCCTTTGCCCTTCTCGTGAAGTCCTCTCCATCACCACAGTTCAGCTGAGGAGCAGAGAGTCTAGAGATGGCCAGTGTACCAAATGCCACAGAAGGAGTAAGTCTGTCCCAATGTGTCCCTGGACATGGCCCATGCACTGAGGCACTTCTCCCTGGTTGGGGGGGTACAGAGTAGCCCCCTGAGCCCCACCAACCCATGAAGCATGGCTGTTGGCAGGCACCCACATGAGCCAGGCAGTCCCAGCTCCCTAGCAGGACCATGAGCTCCCATGTGGCCTTAATGCCACAGCCCCCCTCCACCCTTGGCACCTCAATCATTGCTGTGGTTGACCCAGGGAAAGGATAGAGGAAGATGAGGGCCCTCCCTACCACCCGCTGAGTGCCCACTAAGTGCCAGCCCCTGGCTGGGGGTTCACATAAATTATTTCATGACAACAGCTCCAGAAGTAACTTCTCCCGGAAGGTGACATGGAGGCCCAGACAGAAGCAACATGCCCTGGAACACATCTTGTGGTCTGTCCACAACAGAACTACCTGCGCGCATAGAAGATGAAGGCCCTCCCTACCACCTGCTGAGTGCCCACTAAGTGCCAGCCCCTGGCTGGGGGTTCACATAAGTTATTTCATGACAACAGCTCCAGAAGTAACTTCTCCCAGAAGGTGACATGGAGGCCCAGACAGAAACAACGTGCCCTGGAGCACATGTTGCGGTCTGTCCACAACAGAACTACCTGCGTGCACAACCAATATACCACTGGCCTCCCAAGACAACCTTTTTGAGGAGAACAAAAACCACTGTTGGTAATGGCTCAATTCATTAGGGCATCATAAAAGTGAATTGGCCAGGAGACAAGCCATGTTATGAGTGATCCCTGCCAATTAGCTGTAGGTGGAAAGCTGGCCTTTGAAGTGACTGCTGCTCAACATGCTCTGCTTGCCTTCACAATTGCTTGTGCCTTGGAAAAGAGCAGAGGAGCCATGTGTGTGTCTAGCTGGTAGGTTTAATGACAACCTTAATTATACCAACAGCTGGCATATCCCATCCCAAGGGCATGGGATGGCACTACCAGAACCTAACAAGCTGGATCTAAAAGGGAGCCTTAGTCATGCTCTTCTGGCAACTGTAGGCCCCTGTCAGAGAGTAGGTACTTGGCCTTGGGGAAAGTAGAGGATGGATCATGACATATGCAGGGGATGAAAGCTGCCTGATGTCCCTAAAATCTGCTCACTGCTCAGCCTGCCAACAAACTTGGGTATCTCTGGGCTGCCGCTGACCTGGCCAAAGGCACATCTTCCCCTCCCGGGGTTCTTGCCACTTCCAGAGCACTCAAGGTTGGGGGTGCAGGCTCCTGTCCTGGCCCAGCTGCTGATCCACTGCATGCCCAGGGAAGGGTCCTTCCCTCTCTCAGTCCAGTTTTTGAGTCATCACTACAATGGGCCTAGGTGGACGTCTAAGGATGGCTGGTCTTCACAAAAAGGAAGGACTGGGGTGAGCCCAGCTATCCCTCACCCTACCCCTGACAGTCCTGTGCACAGACTTGAGGGAAGGAGGAGGATGATGCTGCTCTGGCCTCCCATAGGACCTCCTGTGCTCCCTCAGCCAAACACCTTGGCCACCTGCGTGCCTCACAGCACTTTGAGCTTTTGGAATGGACACTCTGCCAGCCACACTTCTGGGTCAACCCTGGTCAGCACTGGCCCACTGCAGGCATCAGCAGGACATATTGCATTAACAGCTGGATAAGCGGGTGAATGGATAAACAAATGGAAGAATGAACAGAAGGACAGCAACTTAAGAAGTAGCAACCTTGGGTACTCTGGCTCCCCCAACATCCTGGCACTCAGGGCCAAGGCAGCACACACAGAGCCTCTGCCGCTGGCCCCAATAGGATTCCCTGGGGGAGATGATATTCATCCACAGGTCCTTCCTGTGACCCCAGTGATCCAGGCCCTATCCTGTCCCCAGGACATGGAGACAAAGGAAAGCTGCTCCCAGGCCATGGTGGGGGTGGAGAAGAGCAGAGGGATAGTGCTCACGCCACACCATCCTGAGATGTCCAGAGGCTGGAGGGGCTTATCCCCTGCTG